ACATCTTTGCTCTTAAACACTTTACAGAGATCTTTTGCAGCAGATTTGCCCAGTGCAATACGTTGTCTGATTTCTTGACTACTGCTTCCATGGGTGTTGATTGTGGATCCAAGTAAAATGAAACCCGTAACAACTTCAAACTTCTCTCCAGTTATCATCATGTTGCTTATTGATCCACTTGTGAGGACTTTTGTTTTATGTTTATCCAAACTGACGACTGTAGTCTTTGATCATCAGTAAGTGCTTCAAGTCATCTTCACTTTAAGCAAGCAAGGTTGTGTCATCTGTATATCATAGGTTGTTCATGCATCTTCCTCCAATCCTAATGCTGTGTTCTTCTTCATACAGTTCAGTTTCTTCGATTATTTGCTCATCATACAGATGGAATAAGTATGGTGAAAAGATACAACCCTGACACACATCTTTTCTGATTTTAAACCATTCAGTATCCCCTTGTTTGTTCTGTCGGAATGACAGCCTCTTGGTCTATGTACAGGTTCTTCATGAGCACAATTAAGTGCTCTGGAATTCCCATTTTTCATAATGTTATCCATAATTTGCATGACACACACAGTCGAATGCCTTTGCATAGTCAATAAAACACAGGTAAACATCATTCTGGTATTCTCTGTTTTCACAGTCAAGATCCAGCCGACATCAGCAATGATATCCCTCATTCCATACCTTCTCCTGAATGTGGCTTGAATTTCTGGCAGCTCCCTGTTGATACAATGCTGCAATCATTTTTGAATTATCTTCAGCAAAATTTCGCTTGCATATGATATTAATGATATGATTAGATAATTCCTGCATTCTGTTGGATCACCATTCTTTGGAATGGGCACAAATACGGATCTTTTCCAGTCAGTTGGCCAGGTAGCTGTCTTCCAAATTTCTTGGTATAAACGAATGAGCCCCTCCAATGCTGCATCTGTTTGTTGAAACATCACAATGGTATTCTGCCAATTCCAGAAGCCTTTTAATTTTTTCCACCAATTTCTTCAGTGCAGCTTGGACTTCTTCCTTCAATACCATGTTGTTGTTGTTACGTGCTGTCGAGTTGGCCCCGACTCATAGTGACCCCTCCTTGGGCTTCCGAGGCAGTATCACTATGCAAGTAGATTGCCCAACCTTCCTTCCAAGGAGTGGCTGGTGGATTTGAACCACCAGCCTTCTGGTTAACAGTCAAGTGCCTTAGGCACTATGCTACCAGAGCTCCTTTCAATACCATAGGCTCTTGATAATATGCTATCTCCTGAAATGGTTGAATGTCAACAAATTCTTTTTTATACAGTGACTCTGTGTATTCCTTCCATCTTCTTTTGATGCTTCCTGCATCATTCACTATTTTGCCTATAGAATCCTTCAGTATTGCAACTTGAGGCTTGATTTTTTTTTTTTCAACTTGAGAAATACCAAGCATGTTTGTGCCTTTTAGCTTTCTAATTCTAGGTCTTTGCACATTTCATTTTAATACTTCACTTGGTCTTCTTGAGCCACTCTGAATTCTTCTATTCAGCTCTCTTATTTCATCATTTCTTGCATTTGCTTTAGCCCCTCTCCATTCAAGAGCAAGTCTCAGAGTCTCTTCTGACATCCACTTTGGTCTTTTCTTTCTTTCCTGTCTTTTTGATGAGCTTTTGCTTTCTTCATGGATGATGTTCTTAATGCCATCCCACAATTCATCTGGTTTTTGGTCACTGGTGTTCAATGCATCAAATCTATTCTTCAGATGGTCTATAAACTCAGGTGAGATACAATCAATGTTATGTTTTGGCTCTTGTAGACTTGTTTCAATTTTCTTCAGCTTCAACGTGAACTTGCATAGTGGCAATTGATGGTCTGTTCCACAGTCAGCTCCTTGTCTTGTTTTGACTGATGATATTGAGCTTCTCCATCACCTCTTTCCACAGTTGTAGTCTACTTGATTCCTGTGTATTCCATTTGGTGAGGTCCATGTGTATAGTTGTCATTTATGTTGTTGAAAAAAGGTATTTTAAATGAATATATCAACGGTCTTGTAAAATTCTATCATGCAGTTTCTGGCATCATTTCCATCAATCACCAAGTCCGTATTATCCAACTACCAATGCTGGTTCTTTGTTTCCAGCTGTTGCATTCTAATCACCAGTAATAATCAACACATCTTGATAGCATATTTGGTCAATTTCAGACTGCAGAAGTTGGTAAAAATCTTCAATTTCCTCATCTTTGGCTTTGTGGTGGTTGGTGCATTAATTTGAATAAGAGTAGTATTAACTGGTCTCCCTTGGAGGCATATGGATATTATCCTATCACTCAGCATTGTACTTCAGGATATATCTTGAAATGTTCTTTTATGATGATGAATGCAGCACCATTTCTCTTTGATTTGTCATTCCCCACATAGTAGACCATATGATTGTCAGATTCAAAACAGCCAATACCAGTACATTTCATTTCATTAGTGCCTAGATTTTCATGCATTCCATTTTATTTTTGACAACTTCCAATTTTTCTAGATTCATATTTTGTACCACTCATTTGTCAATTTGTCATATTGTGGTGGCTTTTGTGTTGCTGTGAGCCTGGAAGCTATGCACCAGTATTTCAAATACCAGCAGGGTCACCCATGGTGGGCAAATTTTAGCAGAGCTTCCAGACTAAGGCAGACTGAGAAGAAGGATGGGGCCATCGACTTCTGAAACAATTGGCCACTGAAAACCTTATGAATAACAGTGAAACATTATCTGATATATTACTGAAAAACAGTTGGAGGATTTATGCCTCACCATGTACTTTGCAGATGCTAGAAGGTTCTGGGAATAGGTCTTCATCACACACTCATCCTTCCAGTCATTCATACATTCATTTATGGAGTACCCACTATAAGCTACACACTATGCTGCATACCAACCCCCATTGTGCCAAAATTTATTCTTGAAATTCTGTTTTGCGCCTTTCCAAGTCTGCCTTATTTGCATCAGTACTGTATTTGCAGGTAATGCAGACCCTCTATTTTAAGAAATGAGTTCCAGTCCCAAATCCACAAATAAAGAATTATTATAATAATAGCATATTCATGAAAAGCAAATTACTTATCTTGGCGTTTAACATCCTTGTAACTATTCCTGTACTTTTAATGTCAACAGAAAAAAAGTAATGTCTAAGTCTGGCTGATACCATAAATTAATGTTAATAACAGTTTTGACACTAATAGCAAGTTTTAAAAAAGAAAAAACCTCTAGTCTCTAAGCTGGGTTTTCATTTCTTAAGAATCACCTCAGCTCACTGTCACCAAAGACTTCCCTAGAACAATTCCAGCTACTATTTCACCTTCACTGGGAGCCTGAAACGACTAGAATCTGTAAAGGTTCTATGAAATTATATCTCTTTCCTGCCTTTGCTCACTCCCGTTGTGGAAAACATCCACCCCCCTGAGTTACAACAACAGGGGGCTTCTCAGCAGAGACACATTTCTGGACCCCTGGAAGCAAATGAATGCCTATATGGTTTCATTAAAAACCACAGGCTGTTTCTTCAGAGCTTGAAAGTTCATTATGAGAAGTGTAGACTATTAAAATACATGTTAGGTTAATGGGAAACTTCTGACTTTATGTTACTGAGACCATGCAATCCCAGAGAATAGGTTCTGCACTTTATTTATTCTTGTGTTCTTCCACAGTGCTGTGCACAGAGTAGGTACTTAATAAATTTCCTATGAATTAAATTGACCTGAGCTGAAATTTTAATAAGCCCAGAGAAAATGAAAAGGAACCCAGCCCCTTGGCCCTACCCTCCTGCCTCTCTTTCTAGAAGTCCTTGAGGACTCAAGCAGCCCCTGGCAAACCCGCTCACTTCCCTCTGTTTTGCCAGTAGCACTGGCTAGATCTTTTATCTAGGTCTACAGCACTCACCTCCGTAATCACTTAGAGGCCGCTAGACTTTAAGCAAAGCATCTCTTCCTACTTCCAAACGTTGTTCTTTTTCTATTACTAATTGAGTGTTTTACTTTTAGATGATCCTATAATGAACGAACTCAAATGAGCAGAGAGGCAGCAGTGACAACCCATCAATAAAATAATTAACTTGAAGTGGATTTTGTTAGAGACTTCTCATGTCACAATAGGAAATCTGGGCTACTTAAAATCAAGGAAATCAAATAGAATCATCTCTTTTTGTTTTAAAAGGAAAGTTAGCTTTTAAAAGTATCTCTTCTATAGAGCCCCATCAAGTCTGCTGACAATACTGGTTGTTTACTCTGGAAGTGCATGCACAATAGAAAAGCCAAAGGAGTACGTGATAATTTCCAGAATTTTCTTTTCTCCTTTCCATAGTTATCGGAGTTCTCTGTATAATCTGAGCAAGGAGACCCTCAGTACCTTTTCTTTCATTTTGAATATTCAGATCATGGTCTCAGTCCCTAAGGCTTTTGTATCTTATTCCAACACTTGCATGTCACTGAAAAGCAGGGGGAAATAAAAGCATAACAGGCACAAATGCAGGGCCAAATCCCACCTCTTTTCTGTCTTCCAACCAGTGAAAGAGAAGGGTTCCTGGTAACAAAAGTTAGCCAAGGCAGCTACATTTCTTTTGTGTCCTCCTCCTCAAAACATAATGCCAGTGATTGGTCCAACAGCCTGTCATCTTTGTCTTGCAATCCAAACTCCATGCTGCCCTTACCCCCAAGCTTTGCATCACTTCTAACTAAACTAGGAGACTGGTATGAGTTTTAGAAGCAACCCCTGCAATAATAGACATTCAACAAGGAACAAATTGCTTCCAAAACTCTGGACAAGAACTAGAAAAAAAGAACAGAGCTGGCTTCAGGTTCTATTGGGTTCAATATTGAGGGGCAAAGCAGAAATTCAATAAGGAAGGTGACATGGACTTCAAGTCAGTTAGATTGATGCCCAAAACAGAGATTGGATACTGGACTGAGATAAGGGACACTCTTGAGTGGCTCCATGAAAAGGGAGATAAACTGAAAATGTTGTGGGCCAGGGGACATAATTACATACCCATGCTCCATCCGGTCCAAACAGTTCCAGGAAGTTGCCAATGAATTCCCTTGATTTTTCTTCCCACTTTTGAATTAGATCATGACTCTTTTCTTCCACTCTATTAACAAATTCCTTTGATCTTTCCTCCACGTTTTTGACCTTTTCCTTCATCTTATCTACCTGGTTCTGGAAACGGTATTTCTTCTCCTGGTCAAAAATTGAAGGAGAAAGAAACAGATTTACCCCAAAGGGCATGAGATCATTCACAATCATTCACACTAATGATCATATCTTATTTCAACTTGTTTTTGTTCCTAACCTGAAGAGTCAGGATGTTGCTGTTTCCAAAGGGCTGAATGGGGGGACTGCACCTCTCTTTTAGGAAAGGTCATTTGTTATTAGCCTATTTGGGTATGGAAAGGGAAGTACAAGTGATTTTAACGTTTCTTTTAAACTTCTATGAGTTGAATTCACTTATTTAAGAGAGGAAAAAACACACACAGTTATCCTATATTATGGGTAGATATACTGGTCAAATATCTTCACTCGATTCTGGTGGGACTTAGACTTACACAGAATAGCCACTCAGAGGCTTCCTCAGTTGTCTGTTTTATTGAAACAGTGTTAAAACCAGTATTGCTTGAAATGAGTGGGCCATTGGCTGGGCCTTAGAACCTATGTGTTATACTGGAATTTTTATTTTAATGACATTTTCCATTAAGATAATTGAATTGCATCTATTTCCTTGGTGATAAAGAAAGCTTTTTTTTTTTTTTTTTTTCTGATAGCTTCTCCAGACTGGGGTTTTTTCTTCTTAAAGCCTTTGTTTGACTATAGCGACCCTCCTTGGGTTTCTGAGGCGGTATCTCTATGGAAGTAGATTGCCCAATCAAAATAGCCAATACCAGTACATTTCATCTCATTAGTGCATAATCTTTATGCATTCCATTTCATTTTTGACAACTTCCAATTTTTCTAGATTCATATTTTGTACCACTCATTAGTCAGTTTGTCATATTGTGGTGGCTTTTGTGTTGCTGTGAGGCTGGAAGCTATGCACCAGCATTTCAAATACCAGCAGGGTCACCCATGGTGAGCAAGTGGGTTTGAACCACTTGCTGGTGGGTTTGAACCACCATCCTTCTGGTTAGTAGTCAAATGCCTTAGGCACTATGCCACCTACTTCTGTAGTGATGCTGCCTCAGAAGCCCAAGGCGGGGTTGCAATGAGTCGGATCTGACTCAACAGCAGTGAGGTGTTTTTTTTTTTTTTTTTTTTTTTGGAAGCCTTTATAGAGCTATGGTGTCTACTTAAGTGCCTGGAAGCTATCATATGTTGGGCAAGTCAGATGTCATCTCTAAATCTCAGTTTCATCATTCATAAAATACAGATAATTATCATACCTACCTCCACAGGTGTGCTGTGTCGATTAGATAATGCATGTGAAGTGCTTGTCACAAAGCCTGGCATTTAGTAAACACTCAAGGTATGCTGACTATTTCATTACTATTAAATAGCAAAGACATTTAATCTGTGTTACCTAATGAGTGTGGCATCAAAACCATAAAAATATCATGAGATAAAGGGCCTTTCTCTATGAAGTCATAATACTTTTTCTCCTAAAAGTGTAATAAAGGTTAACATTGCCCTGGTGGTGTAGTGGGTAATGCATTTGGCTGCTAACCAGAAGGTTGGTAGTTCAAACCCACCAGCTGCTCCATGGGAGGAAGATGTGGCAATCTACTTCCTTAAAGATTTACAGCCTTGGAAACCCAGTGGGGGTTGCAATGAGTCAGAATCAACTCAATGGCAGTGGGTTTGATTTTTTTAAATATGAGACTAAAGTTCATTTTGCTTTTCACAATTTTCGGGACATGTGGAATATTGCAAAACTAGGTCAGGATTCCTTGATTTAGACCTTCCAGATCTTACTGAGGCTCCAGTCAAGGTGGGGTGTGAGCTCTGTGTGTTACCATGTTATTGTTATTGTATGCCATCAAGTCAATTCCAACTCATAGTGGCCTTATAGGATGGAGTAGAACTGCCCCGTAGGGTTTCCAAGACTGTAATCTTTATGGGAGCAGATTGCCATATCTTTCTCCCACAGAGCAACAGGTGGGTTCGAACGACCAACCTTCTGGTTAGCAGCCAAGCTAACCAGCTTCACTATTATGCCACCAGGCATCCTTGTTACTATACACACACACAAACACACACATACACACACACACAAGCGTGCTATGGGAAGTCACTCTGTCTTCTGCAACTTACCATGTGACCTTGAGTGAGTTGTTCAACTTCTCTGTGCCTCTGTTTCCTCACCTATATGTTGGAAATAGTCATTACACCTACCCTCATAAGCTTACCATGAAGATTAAATGAGATAATCCAAGTAAAACACTTAGATCAGTACATGATAAGCTCTTGATCTATGTTAGCTGTTGTCCTTATATTTATATTGTTTGCTTCCATAATTCATTCTGCACTGGAAACAGTTATTACGTGCAGCTCCCAGGGCAGCACTGAGTAGTAAAATGAGCACTGGACCGAGGGTCGGGAGATTGGAAGGCTGCTAGTGTCTCCATCTCTACTTTACCTGAGGGATCTTGGTCTCTCTAAGCCCAGCTTTCCTCATCTTTAAATCAAGAGAACCGGGCTGGGTGGCTGAGACCCGTCAGGTCCCTGCCCCTTCTGAAGTTCCATGATTCGTATACATGCCCATCCAACACATTTGATTTCATCCCTGAGCTGTATAGCCAGGTTTATTGTCACAACAAGGCAACAAGCACATCTGCAATGAACTACACGGCTCCTTGAGCTAAGTGGCTTGTCTAAAGGCTGCTTAAAGAGAGTAAGCAATAACTTTTGGAAATAGCTTGACATGCTTGGATGGTTGACCAAATTCAATTTGAAAAAAACAGTTTAATTTATTGCAATAACCAAGGCTTTATTCTCTATGAGATACCAAATAATCACGTTGACTGAATTCTTTTCAACCACTTGTTCTGGTGCCACTCGAGCCCAGCATTTTCCGTTTTGTTGCCCGGCTGGTATGAAACCAGAGCCTGGAATCCTAACACTCCCTGCCTCTCAAAAACAACTAATAATCACTGATTCTACAATTAATGACCCCTTCCTATTTTGAAGGTCCCAATGATCAATTGTGTAAGTTGCTGGATCATTATGGTTGCATATAACTAATTATAAGTGTCTAGTTTTGTAGACCAATCTCCTTTTGCACATACAGTATTTTTTCTTTTCCAGTTGCAATTCTATATGGATGGAGAGTTCTTGTTTTAATCAAAAATAGCAGCGCCTCAGCACCCAGGCAAATATGGTTGTCCAGACTGACTAACATCACCTCCAGCAACTGACGCTGCCCTCTTTGCTTTTTAACAGCTTGTTTTGCTTGTTTTAAAGATTGTTTTAACAGTTGCTCTATTATTAAACTAACAGCAGCTCTGTGGGAACAATACAGCAGAAATACAAAAGGCAGCCAAAGACTTTAGGCTTTATTTAAGCAGCTGTAATTTCTCTGGACAATAAAAAACGGCTGTTAAGGTTTCTAATGAGCATCTGTAAGGCCTTAATAAAATGGAATTGGGGGGAAAAAACGTTAAAACAAGAAAGCATTTTCTCTGAGTTAAGCTTTTCATTACCTCTGCCCTCCTCCGTTTCTTTTTGAGCGGAAGATAACTCTTGCCTTGCACAAGGCACAGATCTCCCACAAACCTTCATCCAAATCTGAGAACTCTAAATAGGGTGGCTGGGGTGAGGGGAGGGGAGCGAGGCAACTCTTTTATCAAATGTGAAGCTCACAATCTGTTCCTTGGCTAACTTACTACCCCGTTGGACATTTGTTTACTCATCTGTAAAATGGGGATAATAATACATCATTGGGTTGTTATGTGGGTTAAAGGAAACAATAAATGTGACATGTTTAGGACACTGTGCGGTGTATAGTAAGCACACTCGATGAAGGTTAGTGGCAGTGGTAGTGGTGGTGTGATGCGGTGGGCCTCAGAGGGTGTCGAGTGGCATGCTTACATTTATAAAACTGACATTCAGCTCCTTGGCCGTGTACCCTCTCTGGAGATTGCGCCGAGCATAGACATCGTAATCACGGACAATTCTGGTGATAATGTCTGATGTGGAGATGCCTTCTGTTCTCTGCGTTGGAACAAACATTCCTGCCCAAATAGATAAAAAGGAAAAACTAAGATCACCTGGGCTGAACCATTTCTTTACTGGCACTCCTTTCCAGGACAAAGTTGCAGCCAAGTGCCAGTGAGGCCCCGGCTGACTCTTTCAGCTTCAGTTCCACACCCTCCTTCCATACCAGAAGCACTGCATGTTCATCATCTTGGACCCATTCCCAGGATGCACCATGCACTCTCCCGGCTCCTGGCATTTGCTCATGCTGAGCACTTCTTTTCTGCCCTGGCCACCTTCCTGCCCACATCAACTGCAGAGTTCCTCCCATCCTGCAAGGTCCAACTTCAAGGTTATGCCTCTGGGAAGTCTTTTCTGACATGACCAGGCAGAATCCACAATATTAGAACATAAACTTGTCTTCCATTAACCAAAGAATTTTTTTTGCTTGTAGAAAGTGAGCATTTTAAAAGCACAGATTGTGCCCTTGTATCTCTAGCACCTAGCTCAGTGCCACTGTGTCTAGCACACAAGCGGTGCTCACTAAATGCAAATGGACTAAGTAAATGAATGAAGGAGGGACAACAACTGAGTCAATGAATTAGATCGTGGCAATACCCCTTCTTTCTCCCTCCCCAAGGAAGTCTGCATCACATCTTACCAGGAAAAGAAGAAAACGTAGACTATTTTTATTGTCTCTGATCTAAAAACATGCCAGTGGGGTGCTAGATGATTTTATCTCCTGAATTACAGTCTACTCTGCATGGTGGTTTCACCATTCAAAGGCCCTTTCATCTAGAATATGTGGGCTTGAGTAAAAATAAACAAGCACAGAAAATGCCAAGATCTAACAGAACTTCTTTAAAGCACTCAAACATATAACTGGGTGTCCCATTATGGTACCAAAATGGCTATAAAGAGGTCACAAGTATTCACAAAAGCATGAATTGAGTTTATGCTCCCACTTCTGTTATCAATCGAAATAATGTGATGGCTAGAGCAAAGAAATAAACACCACGAAAAAGCACATAACAAAATGACAGCAATAAAATGCATACTTGCCAATAATTACATATCTGACAAGCGACTTATCTCTAAAATTCATAGAAAATGCCAACACCTCAACAACAAAAAAGATTAACAATCCAATTGAAAAATGGCAGAAGACATGAATAGACACTTCACCAAAGAGGATATTCAGGCAGCCAGCAAATACATGAAGAAATGCTCATAATCATTGGCCATCAGAGAGATGCAAATCAAAACAACAAGATACCTTCTCACCCCAGCGCTAATGGCAAAGTTCAACAAGACAGATAATAACAAATGCTGACAAGGATGTAGAGAGATTGGGACCCTCATACACTGCTAGTGGGACTATAAAATGAGACAAGCACTGTGGAAAACAGTATGACGATTCCTTAAAAAGCTAGAATTAGAAGTACCATTTGACCCAGCAATCCCATTACTAGGTATATATCCTAGAGAGGTGAGAGCCAGGACAGGAACAGATATATGCCCACTCATGTTCAATAGCAAAAAGATGAAAACAACCTATGTGCCCATCAACAGAAGAATGGATAACCAAACTATGGTACATACACACAATGGAATACTATGCAACACTAAAGAATAATTTAGAATCTGCAAAACACCACATAACGTGGATGAACTTGGAAGAAGATATTATGCTGAGTGAAATAAGTCAATCACAAAAGGACAAATATTGTATTAGTCCATTATTGTGAAAGTCAAGGAAAGGTTTATTTATGGAAGGAAACTTCGTTGGTTACCAGGGGTGGGAGGGGAGAGGAGGGAACACTGCAAAAAAAAAAAAAAAAATGCCTTGACCCATGTCACTTTAGCTTTGTGTATTTCACTATACATAAATTATATTTCAATGAAATGCATTAAAATATAATACTGTGGTGGCAATTTAAATCTTTCCACCCAATAGCGTGATGGCCCCTCAGTCAGAGACATCAGGCAGCAAGCAGTGTGATAGACAGGCTGGGGACAAGGGAGCTGGGCTCTCTCTTTGGAAACCTGGGCAAGTCACTCGAACCTTTGGATGGCAAATTATTTAATCTCAGTTTCCTCAGCTGAGAAATGACATGGCTGAACAAGATGACCTGAGAGTCATCTGCACCATTTCCCTCTCCCTCACTCCCCACATCCAATCAATTTCCAACCACCAATCTACTTCCTAAACACGTTCCCAGTTCATCCACTTTGCTCCATCCTCTATCCTAAACCAATCCAATAACATCTTATTCAGATTATTGCAACAGCCTCAAAATCAGCCTCCAGTGTTGCCGTTTTTGTCCCTCTCAATCCCTTCTCTCTTTAGTGGTCAGAGTGATTTTTCTAAATGCAAGTTTGATGCCCTGCTTGAAATCCTTTCTAGGCTTTGTACTGTCCTCTGCATTTAGATTCAAAGCCTTAACTGGACTTTGGAATTGCTTGCATTCTCTCTTCCCTGTGCTCCTCTGTAATCTCATCTAAGACCCCATCTCCTTCACTCCCTAAACTAAGGCCCGTGTGCTGCATAACTGCAGAGGGCACCATTCTCATTGTTGCCCAGTGGAGCTGGGCAATAGGCTGATCCTGCCTTGGCCTAGACACCTTGGACTTCTACAGTGCCCCAAAAGGGCTGCCTCCCTTTGCCTCACTCTGCCATATACAAATACACTCTATCTGGTCAACTCTTGGTCATCCATTGGGTTTTAGTGTCACTTCCTCAAGGAAATCTCTCAACTCTAGATGAAGTCTTTTTGTTTGTTATTCTCTCCCAACAGTCTATTGTTCTTTTCCTTCAAATACTCCATGTCTTTATAAAACAACTTATTCAATAACTGTCTTCCCCATTCGACTGTAAACTACATGAGGAAAGGAACTGGACCTCTTTTATTCTCTTCTGTGTTCTCATTATTCTATATTCTATATTCTGCTATATTCCCTGACCCCAGGCGGCAGGGAGCAGTGACAGAGAGGGCCGGTGGCCAGAACAGGTAAGGTGGGTGGGGGAGAAACCCAGGTGGCCGGGAGCAGTGGCAGACAAGGCTGGCAGGAACAGGTAGGGGGAAGCTCAGGAAGTGAGCAGAGCGGTTGGAACAGCTAAGGGAGACGAACTTGTCTGT